CTACTCCGTCAAGGATGCAAACATCTCCTTTTTTAGCAGCGGTGACAAGCTGACTATCCTCCCACAGCGTATCTCCGTTGCCAAGCATTCGTCGACGTTGGAACAGCTCACGAGAATTCATGTCCTAAAGTTGATAATCTTTTAAAAATATTTCATTACAGATGGAATAGGTTCAGATGTACAAAAAACAGTAAGTGGAAATAGTAATGGTAAATAGTAGGAAGATTAAAGCAACTCAGGATGAAAATGATGGAAAGAGATTTTGATGAATTTTCAAGAACCAAAAGCTCCCTTACTTGATAGAGGACCACAGTTTCCGTTTTAAATCCTAGTCGAGCGGCTAGTTCCCTTACGACCATCGATTTGCCAGATCCCCTCGCACCTTAAGTGTATGGACTGATACGGAGTGCATTGCCGATTGAATGCCCTGAAAGTTTTTCATCTTACCTACGAGAGCGAAATCTCCCTGAGAATGGGCAACAGTGAGATCAGCGAGCGTGGCTTCATAGGATGGCGTAGGGATGAAGCCGGGTTCCTTCGATAAAGAGAAGCCACTCAATGCCTAAAATGCTTATCCTGCTTTCCTAAAGGAGTACAATTCTTAGTAATTTGTTGCCGACCTGTTCTTTTCCTGCTACTGTTTTCACAGATGCATTCGAGCCAGAAACTGGAGATCTGGTCTAAACTCGCAGGAGGAGCGATTCGAGTAATATAAGAAATGTTAAATAGAGCGAAACTTCTGACCCACCTCACTTATGAACTTTGCTACAAAGTTATCTACAAGCTTCATTTGATGTTCTTTGAACATGCTCCTGCATGGATACATAAAATTGAACATCTCTTCTGCAGAATACAATGGAGCTGCATTCTAAAACGTTATTCAAAACAACTCAAAAATACTAACTATTACAAAGCAAAAACTCTCGAAAATTAGAAGAATCATCTTCTACTGAGCTTCAAATATATCGAATTACGAATTTATACTCATAATTAAGAAGGCGCAAGTGCCCGCTATTTCCCAAATCTTCCAGTGAAACGTCAAGTCGAAATTTGTAAGGTGATTTGCTGACCGATGGCAATTGTATTGAAAAGTGAGTGATAACTGCATGTATGATGCACTTACTCTGCCACTATAATGTCATAGGACATTCCAAA